CCCCCCCAAAAAAAATCTCAGTATTTCCTGAATACGAACTCCTCTCCCGACCGCTGGTCAACATGTTTGACCCATCTGCTCTTCTTTTTCTCCTCACCCGAGCCACCACCCATGGCCCCAACGTGCGCAATATTCAAACCTTTCCCGACTGGCAAAAAAACCGACCTCACGATCCTCCTCCTCCTCTCCCCACCAATCGCCTCCCGCCACCTGGAATCCAAGTCGGCCCGCGAGCTGGCGTTCTTGCACACGATCACGGCTCCTCTCTCACACAACCTAGCAGCGCACAGCATCCCTGCAAGATCGTCCTGCGTGCAGTCTGCCACCAAGAAGTCGATCCCTTCCAATTTCCCCACGGCACTCTCCGTGGGGCCCACCACGACGTCGCCAGGTGGCAGCCCGTGCCCTCTCATGGACTCTGCGTATGCTGACCTGGATGCCTCGTCGGGGACTAAACACACGTGTTTTGCGCCCGTGTGTGCTGCAGCAACAGCGAGCCCGACGCTGGTTGCCGTGGGCCCGCCTTGGGCCCACGTCTCGATGACCAGCCGGGCGTTCCACCCGGCTGCCATGGCCGAAACGAGCTCGGCTACGCCCGATTCATGGAAAACTTTGCACTGCCGATGCAAAGAAATAAGAAAAAAAAAATATTTTAAAAATCGAGTCGAGTGTTTTCGAACGGACGATGGTTTTATCGTGTTACTTACCGATTTTACGGTGTCGATGTAAGCTTTTGTGGCCGTCTCTGGAGACCAAACGAGCTTCATCTCTCTGTTTTTTTCTCTTTTTTCTTCTTTGTCTTGTTGTTCTTTCCTTAGCGTGTGAAAGGTGAAGTGGCTTATGGTGCAAGAGAGGTTGTTTGCAACGTGGGGGTTTTTAAATGAGCAATTTGGACAGAAATTGTCAATGTCAAAAGGGTTGACAAACTATAAAAAACTCCAAGGCAAATTCGATGTGGGAGATTTGTACTATTAAATTTGATGTTATGAACTCAAATTGCGTTGCTTATAGAATAACTTAATTTCATTATGGTGACGTTGACCTTGATCAGTTATCTTACATTTATCTGTTGGTATAGTCAGACTATCACTAAAAGAAAATTGCGATTTCAAGATTATTATGTATGGGAAGGTCTTTAGAAAGGAACATTTGTTTATTTATGTGTTATCCCATGTGTCCACAAGAGAGTAACAATTTCAATAATTTGATTTATTTTACAGAGATGCTGCGGTTCCGTTACGAAACCATTCCGTCAAGGTTTGTAACCGCTAGATCAATTATTCTCGATGGTTACATGACAATCTAACAGTACAAATCCTGACGAAATGGTTCCGTAAGTTCGTAACAACACCGTAGTATTTCTCTTTTCTTTTAACAATCGCATGTATTAATATTCTTTTGGTTGGTCTCTTTTTTCACACCAATATATATATAGAAAAACAGAACAAGATATCTTTTGAGAATAAATCCAATTACAAACACAAAAACAGAGAAAAGAATAAAAGAATTAAAGCCGTCTGGAAAATAATGGTTCTGATCACGTAGCAGCCTGAATAATTCTTTATCCTATTTCTCTTTCTAGATCATATGAACCAAAAAAATAATTTGATTAATGAGATTTGCAAAGTATGTTAGAAAAATGTTTTTTTTTTTTTTTTTTTTTACGTATAATTTTGTTACGAACAACATATTATATGCAATTATATTGTATGGTTAATTATTTTTATAAATTTATTTAAGTGACAAATCAAATAAAAGCACCAGCTACATAATTAATATAAAACTATATAAAATATATAATACTACCTATTTCGAGTTGTCTATTGTGTATAGACTCATCGGTTATGGTCCCTATTAGAACCGAAGAAAGAGAGTGTGGTCCCACCAGATGAAGCGCACTCATAAGATGGTGAGTTTAGGTGTATCTTAGTGAAGTTTCATCCCAAAATCAATTGGTTATGGAAGGAGTAGCCCACTATGCTCATTTACCCTACAGAATCAATGTGGGATAACTCACAAGTGATATTCCAACACGTCCCCTCACTTGTGAGTCCTTCATAAGCCCAAGCCCAGAGCCGGCCGAGTAGAGATATAGACCCCAAATCCCTATGTGCACTTTAGTGAGGTGGTATATTAGAACCGATGGAAGAGGGTGCGGTCACACCGGATGAAGCACACCCATAAGAGGGTGAGCCTAGGTGTAGTGGTGTACCTTAGTGAGATTCCATCTCAAAATCAATTGGTTATTGGAGGAGTAGCACACTATATTTATAAACTAGGCTCATTTACCCTATAAAATCAATATGAGATAACTCACAAGTGATATTCCAACAGTCACAAATATCTACATCGCATATACTTTCTATTTTTTATTTTCTAGTTTTTCAATAAAAAATAAGATTTTGTTGAGAAAGAGTATAAATTAATTCCCAATCGTCTATATATGTTGAATTCACATGAATCCGTATTTAAAATTTGTGTTTTGTTATCTAATTATGATTTTTATTTTATTCAACATAAAGTTCTTGAATAGATGATTTTCATATAATATTAATCCCAACAAAGTACAATATATATAACATAAACATGCCTTGAAAAAATGTGGTAACGTGAATGGATTAATGCAACTGGTTGGTATTTTTACCTATAATATCAATAATTGATTGACTATAGGAATATATAGTGGTAATAAAATGAAGGCATGCAAGGTTGTTGAAATGGTCCAAATAATGATATTCACAAAAATATTTAAAGCTGTCACACGTACATTAATTAACTGTACGTAACTACGCATAAGAAAATTAAGTATTGTTTTGTCCTCTCTTTAGTGGCGGACGCAGACGTTAAGGATAACGGGGCACACTAACGGTTAACGCAATAAGTCAACTGTCAAATAAATATTCAAAGAACTAAAAAAAAAAAAAAAGTTAAAATCTGACCAAACACCTTGTTTCTTATTTAATAGTTAGGGATGAGTCTCACAATCTCATATTAAGAATAGGGACTCGATCCAATCCCTATATAGTATTTACATTTATGTATAATATTTGTTTTTATATATTATTTTGAGGGAAAGGGAATAAACAAGAAGTTGAATATAGCATAAACATAAATTCCACAACTTAAACAAATAACATACTATTGAAGGTTAAATAATTTTAATCATTTCTATTTTTTTATATTGAAATAACTTTACATAATAATTAATAACATGTATTTTATATGTCAATATAATAACACATTTATATATATAACATATAATACTATATTACAAAAAATTCTACAGGGGCCCGTGCCCCTACGGGCCCCTATGTAGATCTGCCCATGCCTCTCTTGAAGATACATCGGAGGTTCACACAGGCCTTGTGTCGAGCATAAAAGATTTATTAAGTCGACCGTGGGAGGTGAGAGTAAAACATGTATTCTGTGAAGCGAATTTTGCAGATGATTTTTTGGCTTCCTTCGCATCGGAAGATTCGTTGGGGTATCAATTTTTTGGTGCTCCACCCGTTGGGGTTCGACAGTGACTACAACATGGTCTCGCTGGCGTGACCTATCAATGAAAAGTGCATCATAAACCACTATGCATTTAACCTCTTCCTTTATACTTAAAAAAAAAAAAAAAAACGAATTGTTTTGTCCTAGTCAGTTTACAACGATGGCAAGCTTATAGCCTATATCGTTATATTATTCTTTTTATTTGCTGTACGTATAAACTTTTTTCATTATAAATTTATTTATCTTGATATAATTATCTAAAAGAACTTGTAAAAAGTTTAAAGTAAGTTATATAAAATAAAAATAATTATATAAATAAATCATACTAGTAGAGCACTAACACGTGTGTAGTACTAACACACTCGCTTGAGTATTAAGTAAAAAACTAGTATTCGACATGTGCAAAATGCACAGATATAAATAAAGTATTGTGAGTTATTTGTATGCATATAATGATTAATTATTTTTCTTTCATTTTTTTGCTGGCCAAATTTACAATTAAAGGAGTTGGAATATTTATTTCTAAAATTGCGTTTATCTGACTCGATGTAATGCATATTTTGGTACGCCTTTTTTTTTGTTAATTATTTATTACTTATTTAGGAATTTCAAATACGTTTTTTATTTAAAAAATAATAATTCAAATGCAACCACAATAATAATATCTAGTCACATTATACGGTCACACATTATATGGTCAACTTTCAGTAATAAAAAGTTTAAAATGATTTTTGTAATTTTGAAGTGATTAATGTTAATTATTTTATAATTAAATGAAATATTAAATACATAAAATGTAACGGTTTTTGGAGGAAAAATGGTTAAATTGCCACATAGGTAAAATTAAATGAATTTTATTAAATGCTATTGGCTAGTAATTATATATATATATAGATATTTATATTTCAATTAAAACATTCTGAGTTTTTAAATAAGTTTTCAATATATGATATATCAAATGAATCATCTATTAATGAATTTCGATTTAACATTCATATTGTATATATGAATAAAGAAATAAATTATATTTATCTTTATAACAATAATAAAATTATTTTTTAATGTTAATTAGAAAAATAAAATTATTTATAAATTAATATATTTATGTTTTAAATAGTTTTATGATATAAGTTAAAACAAATTACTATAATATAACACATGTAAGTCGCACAAGTAACAAGTGTCATTTTAAATATATAAATAATACATAAGTTTTTGTAGACAAAGTAAATAAAATTTAAGATAATTTTTTCTCATTAATTTAAAAATTTAAAAATATTATTTTTTTAACATGTGACACCGTTTCAACTCCCAACGCTTCAAATCGTGTAAAGTCCCATGAGTTTAGTTCTCACGAACAATAATAACATACCATGAAACAGTAATTAATTACTACTCCCTCCATTTTGAAATATAAAGCGTTTAAGGTTTTTGCACAAATTTTAAGGAGACGTTAATTAATAAGTAAATTGACTAAACTAACATTAGTTATTGAAAATCACTATGTATTTATTGTTATAGTTGCAGCTATAAATGAGGGTATATTTGGCAAAAAATAGAATAATTTGCCTTGGTTTTGATGTGTGCCTTATATTTCAAAAAATTTGAGAATTCCTTATATGCCTTATATTTCAAAATGGAGGGAGTATCATTTTCAAAATTTTAAATGTAATATTTCGTCAGAAAATCTATGGAGCCATCGGATGACTCCCTTATGGAGTCTTCTATAACTTTATGTACTGACACATGGTCAATGTGCATTTATTGCAAGACATGTGTCAATGCATTATATATGAATAACTATGGATAGTTCTATAAATCGAGTCATCCGATGATTCCATAGCAAAACCGTTAGATTTCATATTCGTCTAATTAGGTAAAACTTTCTTGTCACTACCATGGGCAGTTGGTAATTTTAGACAAGTGGTTGGTATGTATACTTTACAATAAGTATATACAATTTCGTGTAAATGACTAATCAAGTTTAATTAATGATGTGTTTGCATTATATTATTCAAATTTTATCCCCAATCAAATTTTATTATATTAGTATAATTTTTCCTACAGCCTTGCGTTAGCTAATGTCCTTTCGCATGAAATATTATTGTGAAGAAATTTAATTAATCAATGGCGTTGACAAACATATCCCCTGCGAGTTCGTACGTGGCAGATGATGTTAATCAAGAGTTGACAAAAAGTACTTACCTATTTGCCAACGTACGTCCTCCAATTTCCTCAATTTACTTAGGGGGTGTCTATATGTACACCCCCTCAAGTGTAAAAAAGGGGTGTACATATAGCACTTTTCTTTGTGTAATTTATTAAAAGGGGGTGTACATATAGCATTGCCCTTTACTTATTAGGGCATCTCCAATGGTAATAGCTATTACTAGCTATATAGTTAGCTGACGTGGATGTGAGAGATAAGAAAAATAACTATTTTACACTATTGGACCCACGTACTCCTCTCACATGATCTTGGGCTACGTGAAATAGATAAGCTATTTGTTAGTAGCTAGTGACTACTCTCTCTCTTACTTTTCCCTTGTCCACGTCATAATAGTTAGCCAAATAGCTAACCATTGGAGACGCCCTTATACGCAAAGTATCAATTCAGTACTCAATTTACAACCAAGTAATGGAGGTATTAAAAATACTTTTTTAATGTCTCCGTTACATTTTGGTTGTAAACCAAATTGTAATGAAGGTTGACTAAGTGGCATAATCCTAAACATAAAAGCAATGAGTAGGCACTTTTTTTTTTTTCTTTTCATAGGAGTATTAATACTGGTTTCCCCAATTTTCCTCTCAGTGACTCGAAATTGGGATCTGAATACTCTTGGTTTCTCCAATTCTCCTCCAAGTGACTCGAAATCGGGATCTGGTATACGCGGTGTTGGAAAAATCAGTTGTAAAACTTGGGTTTGACCCGGTTTTGACTGAATTTTTGATGGCTAAATATTTAATTTTAGTTGAATTAAATATTGTAGAAAAATTCTACG